CCCCAAATACATCAAAATCAGGAACATTTTGCCTGTTTCATATTCATAGTTTCTTCTTTATGTGTGACTGATTTATTCTGCTGCATGCCCCCAGGGTCTGCATTGTCCAAAATAAAGGCTGCCAAAAAAGAAACAAAAAAAAGAACAGGGAGCAAGTAGGGTGGGGGGTGTTCAACCGATGCTTTTAAATGCTGGGAGACTATTGCACATCTTGCATCCTTGTGTGTGAATTCACCTTATGGTGTTTCTTAACAAAAGCACGCTCACTAAATAAATAACTTCAGCACAATGCAAGACATCGTGCCTGAAAATAGCAAACTGCTCCGAGACAATTACTCCATGCTGTGAAATCCGCTCTCTCCAGCTTCTGCATTGTCTGAAGTTGTACGTGTGCTGCCATAGCATGTGCTTGCATTACAAAGCGCTGTGACTGTGCAGCAGAAAGTACAAATGCATAGAAAGCGAGCACCCGTGAGTATTTTAGGTTCTGGTTTTGCCTAAGAGAGCGGTTTGGTTTTCAGGGACTTTTTTGCTATGTGGTGTGTATGGATGTTGAAAACAAAGGGAGCGCAAATTACTTTGACAAAGTCAGCGAAGCTCCGGCTCTGCAGAGTGGGCTCTCCGTGGCACACACAGTGCCCGAATTGCAGAGGGGCAGACTGCGAGGCAGGAACTTACACACCACTACGTGCAAATAGGTTTCAGCAAAGGAACTTGACAAAAGGCACCGCTCACAAGGCCGCCTGCAAACTTTGCCCAGGTGTTGAGGAGTGGTTCATTATGGGCTGCTGTGAGGGATCTTTCTGCCATGAGAAGCTATTGTTAAGCGCCCCGACAGATGAGAGCAGACCCTTCTCCTTCCACAATAGCTGCTCACACCAAGACAGACTCATTAAATATTCAGTTCCAGCCTCGAGCAGCTCATTAAGTCAGCAATGAGCAGTGACGCTGGTGTTGGAAAACCCTGCCTCAGTTAACATCACCATGCAGAGTCTCCTCGGATCCCTTGATGTTATTCCGCTCAGTCCCTTTTCTGTGATGACCAGCTTGTGCTCTCTGCTTTGCATTAAATACAGGTAAAAAAGAGTCATGTGGATTTCAGTTCTCCTATTCTTTCTAGGCCTTTTCAGAGGTGAGCCCTGGGGCCCAAGCTAAGTGTCTATTGCATTTTTTTCTGTAGCAGCATATGTAATACAAATTTGCAGGAGGAGGATGGGATGAGGATTATATGGCTTTACTGGTTGTTTTTCTAAAGAAAACCCAAACAACACAGCCGTAATATTTGAAGGATAACATTGATAGCAGAACATCATGACATGCAGCAGTTACAGATGCTGCTTTACTGTCTGTTGGCTGTTACACAGCAGAAACTTTTGCAGTAAGTGTATTTTCCCTGGAAATGCCAGTGTCTGAGGTGGATTTTGGCTTGGATTGTATGCTGAATGTGTTACTTGTGTGCAGAGTTTCTTTCTAAATGGTGTATTTGAAACCTCTTTTGCAACCAGTAACTTACATGAGTATAATTTAATATTAAATAGTATTTAGCAATAACATACAGGGGCATTTATGATGGGGGGATGTCAGATGTCAATGAATTCGCTCACTCCAGAATCTGAGATTAAAACTGTAATTGTGGAAAATGCACACGTGTTTTCCTGCCTTGATGTTTTAAAACTGTAACATCTGAAAGGATGGAACAGAAATGTTGAAGCGGAACAAGTGCAGAAGTTTTCAGCTGTTTTTTCAGAGAGCAGATTTTCACACCCTGAATCTGTTGTTTTTTTCCTTTAACAGAAAGTGTTTTCAGACTGCCCATTTCTATGTGGAGGACAGCAGTTCTCCCCGTGTGGTCCCCAATGAAAGTATTCCCATTATACCTATTCCAGGTAAGACGGGTTTAATCTCCTGTGTTTGTGCTGCTTGTAGTTTGTTTTAATTGCATGTGGAAGAGAAGGTTATGCTTGTGATAAATCGTGGTTTTCTGGTAGAAATCTGATGTATTGCTGCTGCTTCATTTAGTTTATGGTGCTTTGCAATGGGGCTCTGAGTGCCAATGCTGTGTTTTTCCATAGGTACCTCTCCCTCATTGTTTTAATAGAAATTTCAGAATAACCTCTGTAAAATGTCAAAAACATGAGCAGCACTTCTTAAAAACATGAAGGCTTTGCATCTAGGGTGAAACCAGCAGCTGCATCAGGACAGGTTGTGGACGAGGGATGTGCAGCTCCACTGCTCTCTCGAGACCGGGGGACTTGCCCCCCACTTTCAGTGGTGTCTGCAGGGTCTCAGGGAGGAAAGCAAGACACAGGGATAAGCAAACAATCTCAATTAAAGTCCAAAGCCATCTGTTAATTTGATATTAATCAAGTTACCGAAGGTCAAATGCTCCTCTCAGCTACACCGAGAGCAAAGCTAGAGGCAGAGTTTAGTGCTCTACTCTTTTCATGAGGCATTTCCCCTGGGAATTATTAAGTGCAGGATCCAGCTCCCTTTAAGCGCTGATGACAGAGAGCAGCTTGGTGTTACAGTGGCCTTTGCAGCCGCTGCCTTGTTTGATGTTGCTCAGTTTCACAGGCAGAATTAAGATACCCAAAATGTTATGTTGACCTCAGTCTGTCAAATCCTTGTACTTTGCTTCTTCAAGGTGTTTTAAGCTTCCTTGTCATATTCTGTGATTTGTGTCATTGGTCTAGGATTCAATCTGCAGCTAATTAGATACATTTTAGCAAAAGACATTGAAAGCCATCTCTGAGACACTGGAGAAACACGCGTCCTAGAAAAGTGGAAAAATCCAGTTACTTTTTCCTTGATTTTGTTCAGTAGACATGTAACTCCTCTCTAGAAAGAGTCTTTCAAAATACCCATGGGAACTAATATGAAAGGTTAGCTATTACAGTGCTGCAGGAAACATTAGGCAGTTTGCCTCGCAGTCTGATGCTGTGCCACTGAAAATAAAAGAAAACATCTCTGCTTCTCTCTGTGGCAAACTGAGGTGCACGTCCTGGCCACCTCACTTCGTTTTAGACCATGATGAGTTTTCACTAAAGAACCTGAATAGTGTAAGAGCTCCATTCTTCCTACACTAACACCAGGAGGAGCTCTTTCCTGTTGGAGCTGCTTTTGGCAGTCAGTGTAAAGGTCCCACCATGCCTGTGCTCGTGTGATGCCTCCTTCGAGCTTGTGAGGAAGGAGAGGATGGGATAACCTGGACTCTGTGCTGAGCAGTGTCAAAACCTGGAGGATTGCGAGCACAAGGCAGTGGGAGGAGAAAAATTCTCACCTCAGAGAGAAGTCTTTTTGGCCAATGTATAGCGTTTTTTACTGTAATTGAGACAAATTTCTTAGATAAAGAAACCAGCAGAAAGCCCCATCTTTTAACACTGCGATATATGTTGCTGAGACAGTGGTTCTTCCCCATTTCACACATGTGTTTTGATGGTCAGTCCACTAAAGACTGGTTGGCACGTGTATAAATGGTAATATAGGCTAAAGTAGTTCCATGAAAGCAGTGCGGGTGGCAGGTACCACAAGGCCAGCGCATACACCAGTGCGTTTCCAGCAGCCACTCCAGCACGTAACAAGTGGCTGAGCATGGAAGATTGCCTTCTGGGATCATCTTCCCATGACTAAAGCAAGCCAAGCTGTTGGCCCACTGCAGCTTTGAGGTTGACGTGATGCTGCCATCACTGCAGTGCATGCTGTGGTCTGCTCAGGTTCAGTAATGCTAAGAGCTGCTCACTCTCGATGGTAGGCACTGCGGATTAAGGCATCTCCTAACCAAGTGCTGCAAGACACCTCGAGAAGCTTTGTAATCAAGAACATTTAAGGACTGCTGATGGGCTCTAAGGCATGTGAAGAACTGACCCTCAGGCAGAGGTTTAGTCTAGTTGGGTGCAAAGGTGGATCCAGCCCTTGAGTTCCCAATCTAATGACAAGATTTTTGTGGATGTAGTGGACGTTTAGACACCTGCATACAGACATCCAAATGGAGGTGCCTTAATCTGAAGCTGAGTCATGCCCAGAAATTATTAAGAGAGAATGAACTGATGAACCTGAAGATCTTGGTGCTGACAGTAAAGCTATTCAGGCCACCAAAAGCTAAATCACCCTCTGGAAATGGCTCTCTCTGTGTGTAGTGACTATGACCTACACAGGGAGTCTGTAATGAGGCTCAAAGTTAGTAAATATAAATTCCAGCTATGTTGGCTTTTTCCAAAGATGGAAAGTACTGCCTGGAAAGATCTTGAAGCTCCTAAACGTTTTCCTTGTTTGGAGATGTAGAAGAAGCCTGTTTTCCCCCATTTACCTGTTGCTAAATGAGAGTTTTCTCTGATGTCAGCTGCTGCTCCCACATAGGCAGCCCACTGAAATGCCTTAAAAACGTTAAATGACAAAATTATCCTTTGAACTGATTGCAGCTGATGACATGATAAGCCTCTGAACTTTTCCTCTGGAAGCTGCCGGAGGGTGTGAGAAAGTCTTGCTTGCCATGTTGATCCTAGAAGCAAAATATAAGTGGCATTTTCACAAAAGCAAGTTTTTCAAAGTAACCTTGTTAGGTTGTACATCCCTATCCTTACAAAAGAAATTTGAATAGATCCCTGTGGGACCATGTGTCTACCTCCTACAGTTCAGTGGACCAACTCCTGCTCTCGGTTATGTGCAAGCAGCCACACTGATGGCAGTTGAGAGCAGCGTGTCTGAAGACGTTCAGTAGATTTGCCAAGGCCCATCGACAGCACGCAGAGAGCTGCCGGTTGGAGGAAGCTGAGTGGGTTTGGGTTGGCTGCTCCTGGTCCAGGTGTGGGGTGGCTCTGCCAGGTGTGTGGGAGCCAGGCGCAGCGACGTCCTGATGCAGCTCGAGAGGATCCAGAAGCGGCGCTGGTGTCTCTGCACGTCACTGCTCTGCTCCGTGACACATCAGCATGCTCAGAGGTAGCTTTTGTCTTTATTTCTGCACCACATTCTGCTCTTGGTGAGGCAAACCCTCTGTTTTCTCAGGTCTATGAACTCTAAAATCAATCTGCCAGCTACCCACAACAGGCACACGGTACAACTTCTCAGATCCAAAATCTAAAAAAATCTTCTTGTAAAGGAATGATTTTACCCATTTTCTATTCCACTTCCCATGGCGTACGTGCTTAATTATTGTGCACGAAGCCACATCACCCATAGGCGTGTGCTTATCTCTGCAAATCTGCTCTGAGACCCAAATCATTATCATTATTCATAATTATCTGCACTGCTTGATCTAGAGAAACACAGGACAAAGGAGATATCATTAACTGAGTCACCCACTGGATATTACAGCTGAGGTATAAATCTAAACTCACATAAGCCTTACACCTGACAGTAATGCATCTGTAATCAATGGCAGATTTCTGAAACTCCCCTGCCGTTCAGCCCAACAGAATTATTTCTCCATGTCTTCTCTCTTCGCCTTCACACTCAATTAATTTTGGCCACGTTCATCTCATCTTTGCCTGGATCTCTTCACTATAACATTTGGACTTGGCAAGATCTCTTTCTCGGCAAACCAGCTCCTGTTCCTGTTTAGATTTCTTTTTTTTCCCATAGCTGGGTCAGTATCTGGTTAAAACATTTCCAGACTTGATCCTTTTCGGTAGAGTTGAATAAGTAAGAACAACAACAGCATTGTAGCTGCAGCACTGCAAAACAAAGTGCATCCATCATCAGTTTTCTTTTCTTCTCATTGCAAGTCGTGCTCCATGACAGCAGTGCAGAAGTGCACCTCTGTGCAGCTTAGATGATATCAAATAGTGGAGCCAGCACAAATTCCACTTCTACCCCCCCTCCTCCTATCCTTTGCTTCAGAGCTTTCCCATTCCTGGGTGGTTCTTTGTACTGGACCCTCCTGTGGTTTTACTGGTTCCTTGCCTGGCCCATGGGCACAGTGGCCGCTCTGGCACTTGGTGTCAGCAGGACTTGCAGTGAGATCAGTACAGAGATCACTGAGCCTTGACCCTATGGCAAACCTCAAATCTCTGCATAGTCTTGACCACAGTCCATGGGAACATGGCTCATAACAAACACAGTGGCTGGCCAGTGCAGCTGATTCATTTGGCACGTTTTTCCAAATGTCTTTCACCATTTTTAGTGCAAGTACAATGTCTCAGATGTGATGCCAGTAACTTCAGCTGTGTCTAGACTGCAAGGCTCAGGAGCACTTCCCACTGCTTGGATCAAGGTGCGTGCAGTTTTAGGTGTAAAGGGCAGTAAATGAATTCTTTAACTGGTACTGGAGTTTATGAATACTGTATTTAAAATAACGAGTGGCAGAATCTGATGGAGAAACACTCCCATGCCCCTTGAGATGACCCAGTGTGGGTGAATAAGCCCAGGAAGCAATAGAGTAGCCAAGTACATTGCAGTGAAAAGTTGTCTTGACCACCTCATGGAGTCATGAGGGTTGAAATTGTGAGGATGTGAAGGCCAGTGCAGCCATGAGCCTCCTTCATTTCCCTCTGTCTTCTCCTGGTTACAAGAAGCAGTCCCATCAATAGTCCATCTTATTAACTCTTAGCTTCTGTTAAATCTCTGCAGAATTTTGAAACCTTCTTCCTTATTCCTCCAATAACCATGGTTGCCTTTAACTTTTCCTGACAAACATCAGTGGTTAGACTTGATGTGTTTTTTACAAGCTCAATTCCTGCATTTCTGATATCTTCTGGTAGCATCCACCTGTTTCTATTAAGAGACTGTAGCAAGAGGTATTTCATTCGACAAAGACATTGCATGTTCCCAACACAGCCTTGGTATCTTACTGTTTTCTGCTGACATGTGGCTGTCTCACGTTGCATCCCAAGAGCTGAAGAGCAGAGCACCAGGACACATCTGTGGCCACTAGGACACGTCTGTGACCACT